TTTCTCAAAATAAAAACATCTGTTGTTCAAATTATTGCGTTTACTAAATAATTTGGGTATTTTAATTTGATTACTTGCTTTAAAAAAAGTCGAAATTCTGAATTTTCTAAACTATTTGGAAACGTGTGATACTAAGTGGAAAACTCATTAACATACAATTAGCATATTCATGACCGTCGCTTCAGTAGTCACGCAGGGAAACTCACGCGATTTGCGTGATTTCACGAGTGCTGCCCACAGTACAAATAAACAGATGGTTGTTTATTCGTTAATAGGATTGTGAGATTATTTGGAGGATTATAACCCAGGTTAAAACAAAAGAAATGATGTAGTTGCCTGTCCTTCTCTTTCTAAGGTCTATGGTTTATCTTACAGTGCTTTCGCTTTTGTTTCCACAACATAAGTCATACTCCATGTTAGTTGCCGCCGATACGTTCGTATCAACCGCTTTGCTGGGAACGGAAAACTTGAAAAATTTTTTTTTATATCTGCACAGTAAAATATTTCATTCACTACGCATGCACAAACAAGTCGGTCTGCAGGATGACCTTCATTGTAATCAGGGATTGAAATAGAATTTTTTACCTGCATGCACAGTGTGCACGTTGAATTTGAAATTTACCTGCACCAACTTGTTGTGAAATGCACCACTTTTAAAGTTTTAATAAAGTTTCTTTATAAGATCGTCGTCATCAGACCATGCAGCCTCATTTACTGGTACTCGAGATCCATATCGTCTTATTTGGGGTCTTCTGCTTGTTTTGCTATCTTGAAACCACAAGTCAATTGCATTGTCAGGAACAAATGTGTCAAGTTCATCATCACATAAATTGCTTGCCATTAATGGTGTTAAGGTTTCAGGTTGAAGCCTGCTTCGCCAGTCATTTTTAATTACGGACATTAGTGAAAATCCGCGTTCACATACCGCTGTACTACATGGTATGAGAAGAACTACATGTACATGTATCTTGACAAGCATGTAGTAAGATGCCTTCATATACAAGTTTCCCATCAGCATTAGTAGATATGCCTTCCATCATGCATCTTTTCAGTTTGTCTTCATCTTTATACTGTACCATCAGTTTCTTTACAGACTCAGCCATATTTCTGACTCTTTCTACAGTAACCTCATTGTCTTGGAGGCATTTACTGAGTGTACTTATCATTCTAAAGTAAATTTGCAGGAATTTACAGAAGATCACAAACTTAACACTTTTCAAAATTTTCAGGAAATACACTGCTTTGTCTTTGCTTTCTTTTCCACCATGTATTCTGACATCTTCTATATGTGCAATATGAACTTTGTAGTTCCTGAGTAGAGCCTGAACTCCTCTTTCATGATGAGGCACCCATCTTGTACCACTAACATTCACTGGCCTTAGAACAGAAATACACAGAGCTTCCCCAGCATTCTTAAAAGCAGCCCAATTCAGGGGGGAGTACTTATAGAAAAGGTACACCTTCTGAAGAAATTCATGGACTACAGTGAGATATGGCATTTGCT